TTTTACGATAAAATATTTTAATTACACTGTTGGTAAATGAGGTAATTAGATCAAATAGTACTAAAATATAGTTTATAATAAGTTTTGCATGTTTGTACCTATTTATCTACAATATTTTTGTAATTTTACTGAAAAATTCTAAGTGATTTCAACGCTAAACAATTAGTGGTCTTAGTGCGGGTCCTAGAAGGATTGTTTCGATTTGAGCTTTAAACAGCAACTTATTGCTAAAATATAGTCAAGGTACTAAGTAATATGTTAGTTAATTTAATAAATGTTCGAAATTTTTAATTTAATAAATGTGTGTCGATTTTTTAAATTTATCAATGGTATTAAAATTGACATAATGACGCTCTTCAAAAATTTGGATTTGAAAGAAAGATCAAATTATTTTTCAACTTTGTGTAGTCCACATAATAAAAATCCATTTTTTAAATTAAATTAAATCAAACTTGATAGACAACTTGTGGAATAGTCTTGGCTTGTTCAATGCAAAAATTATTACGGTAAAGTATTTCATAGTTTGAAAAACAGTCTTCACGGTTTATGAAATTTATTGGACACATTTCAGAAATTAGACAATCCTTTGATAAAAAAAAATTATTCGTTTATTATAAAAATTTGGGTTACAATGATTAGTTTTTTTTGTTTAAATGATCTTATAATTATTAATGCAACTTTCAATGATACAAAATATTCAAAAAACGCGCGAAGAAATGATGATATTACTTATTGTTTGAATTATAATTTAATATAAATTAATAACTGCATAAAATATAATTTAGTATATATACTAAAATTAGTGATGGTAAATCATTTTTGTGAAATTAGATTATTATTGATTCATCGAATTAACTTTATACATCACTTATACAATTTAACTGCATTAAACTATGAAGAATTGATCATTTATTATGCTTATGCTTATGGAATTAAATTTCATGCTATTGAAATCGTTGATTAAATTTTAAAACGGTTAAATTTAAAATATTATACTAAATCGATTTGTCAAGTATGGAAACCATATGATAATTTGATATTTTAATACATTTTACTTTGCCTTATTGCTAAATATTAAATAGCAATTTCGAATACTAAGTTCATACAATAATCAGTGTTTATTAATTTTCTTTTATTTCGTCGTATAATTAACAACTGTGTCCGATGACATCAAGTATTTTTTTGACTTATGCTACAAAAATAAGCAGTTGACAGCACGAAATTAATGCATGTTTGGAAGAATACCCAGTTGCATTTTTTATTTATTAGAGTAAAAGTTTAGGATTACGTGGTTTATGGGTTAAATAAATTCATAGGCGTTTTTTCTTTTAATCTCTTGGTGTAGAGTATTTAAAACATTACTCTGAGATTTCTTATTTTTTGTTTCACGTGTTTACAATATATTGTTTACTACAATCTCTGTATTCATCAGTTTTGAGATGAGTTTTAAATAATAGAAATGATGGCTTATTTCCCAACTGTGGGAATGCAATCAAGTATTCCAGCTGCAATTTCTTTTGTCCCAGGTTATCGGCAATTATCGACGGAAATCCTTCGCACTTTTCGTGAATATCAACTAAACAACCATCAATGGTGTTTAATTAGAAATAAAAGAGAAGTAATACATCCTTGGATCTTATTAGCACATTCTCCGTACCCGCCTAGCCGACGATGTCGACCTTGTCGTTTTGTTTTGAAATAAAAAAAAACGCTTTTTAGCTTTGATAAATCAGTATTGCGAATGATGTGCATTACAATTATAGTACTCTATGATGTCCAGACGTCGCCAACCTGGATACACACACACATACACACATTCACACATTAACACACTTCGAAAATTATTTTATTGAAAAAAATTATACTTATAAAATTAACTCATTAAAACCCAGTAGGTAGGTGCCATATAATTACAGATTAAAACAATTTTAGAAAAAGACAAATGTTTATAAAACATTAAAAGTATTAACCCTTAAAAAAATCCAAAATATGCATTTAGAAAATATTTTATACCAGCGGTCGTGAAACTTTTTTAATTATTACCCCAAATTATTTTTGTCTAAGATATTATCCCCATGGCAAAAAAATTACTTCCATACAGGCAAAAAGTACGTAGCAATTACAGTAAATATCAATTAAAAAGACATACTTTTTGCCCCCAAAATTTAATTTTTACCCCAAAATTTTTTTTACCCCATTCGAGGTAATTTACCCCGGTCTTCGACCACTGGTTTATACAATGAAAGAGTTTCACGTTTTTATATGAAAATTCATACTTTATGTCATATTTGTGGTCAAAGTTGTGTCTAGTTTCCAAAATGTTCATAATTGAACGTTTTTCATTTATCATTATTTATAGACATCAGTTAAAAAATAACAAATTTTAAAGTGACCTTATTACATTGATACATTAATATAAATTGGTATCTGAAACTGATACAAATGACATGAAATGTATAATTTGAGAAATCTAATTGAAATATTTTTTTGTATACCGGACATAGCCATTATTTCAATAATACACATTATATTTCTAAAAATTCCTTCAGAAAGAAATGCAAGCTAGTTTAAATTTAAAATTTATGTAATTTAAATTTTATTGTTTTCATTTGTATATGAAATAAAATTGATGCAAATGATTATTTTTTTACCCATTTATCATTTGCTGGGTTTAGGATTAGGTTTAGGATTTGCTGGTTTTAGGAAATCAATTCATAGTGTTTTTTCAAATTTTTTTAAATACCTCCAAAAATTTGTTCAATAATTAATATTGAAATTGATACGATTATATTATATCAGTTATGAATTTAAGCAGAACAGAAATTTATAGACTCATCTGTTTATTACTTTCCTTTTTCACTTTTATATTTTTATTTTATATTTTTATTACTTTTGACTTCCCGTAGGGGTACAAAAAAATTGCTTTAAAATACGTCATTTTCTCAAGAAATTTAAGTATTTTAAAAATCTAATTTTTGCAGAGTACTCAAAAAATCTGAAAGCTTTTTTAAAAAAAATAATTTTTGGTACGGGAAGTCTCTGCAATTTGCCTTAAGACACGATGCCATGCACCACTAGTTTGTTTTATATTTATAATCATCTAACGGATAATATGCATGGGCATTACTATCACTTTTAATCCTATGTATATATTTGATTAAATTGCATTTTAACTGTAAATCACAATGTTGCTAATATTTATTGATATCTGATAAATTCTAATTATAATTTATAGTTTAAACTGTTTCTTAGTAATGATCACGTATACAAAAATATTTATATCAAGGGGTCGTCTATTAATCACGTGAGATTTTTACGGGGAGGGGGGTTTAACAAAAAATCTCGAAATATCAGGTGGGGGAGGGAGGGGTATGGTAAGATATCACGTGTATTTATTTTTTAACTGATTTTTTTAAAAAAAATTCAAACATTTTCAAAAAAAATCAAAAATTTTAGTTTTTTGACGTAACTAAAAATACACGTGATATTCGGCGGGGGAGTGGGGGCTAATTTCGAATATCACCACGTATCACCAAGGGGGAGGGGGGGTCCAAAAATCCTTAAAAACTAGCTCACGTGATTAATGGACGCCCTCCAAGCTATTTTAAGAAAATATGATACAAAAATAATGCTATTCAAAACTGTGCTATTTAAACTATATTAATTATTGTCCTAAGTCATTTCATCGCTTGTGATAAAAGTGAATCACGAAAAGCTAGTGCTAATAATGCATCACCAAAAAAGGTTGTCCTCCCCACATGAATCGCATTCTGTACGAACATGTGCACGATTATTAATAATCAGCTGAT